CATTATAGGTGTGTACGTATAGGAAAAAACACAGCATATCCAGGGCTCAGTCTATCCTTGGTTTCAGGAATCCACTGGGGGGTATGGGAGCATATCCCTCAGGGTAAGAGGGGTGCTGCATCTGAAGTTGCTCAGACAGCAGGTCCTAAAAGCTCTCATCACAAGAAAAAGTCTGTGTGGTGATGGATGTTCACTAAACTTACTGTGGTGGTCATTTAGCAATACAAACATGTCAGATCACTGTGCCGTACGCCTGACGTTAACGTGCTGCTTGCTATATGTCAATCATCTCTCAGTGAAAAGTATGATGGGTCCCCTATGTCAATGCTTTTTTTTAATGTGATGACAGATGTGAGCCCACTGCTTCTACAATCTGTTCAACTGGTGGGAAGTCAATTGCCCTGTAACATATCACCAGATGATCTTCACACCAGCTAGATCAAATTATAAATATTATTGTGTGATTTAAGAAAAATAATGACTGATTAGTTACAGGTCAGCTTCTAAATAGTTGTTGGTGAAAACTCTTATTTCTCTATGTTCCCTTAAGAATCTGCTGACCCTAATCAGCCTCAAGATGCTGGGCTTACTCATGATCTTTACAGCTTTGCTCCATCAGAAACCTCCGTCCAAGATGTCAGTTCTCAGCAATTCCACTGAACTCCAGCTCTGGAACGAACTAACCTGTGTCTGACGGGGATCTTGCAAGTGGTCCTTCTCTCTTCCCTTCTAACTCTCAACCAAGTGTTTTTATGTCATGGAGCCGTTCAAAGAGATCATGTCTCACCTTCCTGAGGGTGGCCCGCTTTATTTAGAGATTATCTTTGTTTTCAAATTAATACTAATTATAAATTAGTAACAGAAATCACACAAGTTGAAGTTTTTCTCCGCCTTACAAGCCAGACAATTTGAAGATAGTGCCAGGTCCGTTGTCCACTTTGTGTACTAGAGCGCGTTCGGAGCACAGGCCCAGGAGGCGGCCGGCGTGCTCCAGCGTGGAGCCACCAGGGAGCTGCAGCTCCTGGTCAGCTCCGTGCTCCCCTCTTTGTTGTACTGTCTGTAAAATATGTATACTGACCACCCAGACTAAATGAAATCATAGTTCATGTGAATGTACCCCAAAGAATCACACAAGTCCTTAACCCATCTTTTCTTTAAGTAACATCAATGGACAATCACCATTAAAAGTATTATAAACTAGATCATGAAGATTACATTGGCCAGTTAGTGAAAAAAGCCAGAAAAAAAAAAAAACCTCTTGTGTTCACAAAGAAAAGGTGTGGAGAAATGATCGCTGTCACGCTAACAGAATGTCAGTGGAACAAGCCTTCTCGGGGACAAGTGGGACACGTGTATCAAATCACTGCAATGCAGAAATTTCAATTCTAGGGATGTGTTCTAAGGAAATCAGGAGAAATATTGAGTGGAATGGTTTTCGTACTCATGTGTATTAGTGAAATGAAAAGAATCTACATGTTGATTTTTAAAACTCTAATAGAAAATTGATTAAATAAATTGTACTGCATCTAAACAAGATCAGAAATTTTTGATATTTAATGAAATGGGAAAATACGTATTCACTCCTATCGGGTACAGAAAGCAAAGTACAAGAGAGAGCTGAGCACGGCCTCTATCTCACAGAAACAGAAAAGGGATGCTAACACTAAAATAGTAACAGTGGTTTTTCTCTAGATGAAAACAATAATTTTTATTTCTTCCCTTTTTTAGGTGTTGCAAGTTCTCTGCAATGACTTTGTATTACTTTTATTATAAGAATAAATTTATGTAAAAAGTACAAATGCTCTCCAAATTTTACTCTTTGATGTCTTTAGGTTCACAACTCAATAATCAGCTGTCAATGGTGTCTATCATCTTCAGGTAAATTATAATAAACTGACAAGAAATTCTACCTTGGGAAAAAGCAGACATCTTTATTTGTATGTACAGGTTTCTGAGAATTTAGAAGTAGTTTAGATATGCTGTAGAATAATATTAACAGCTTTTTAAAGATTGCCAAATATAGGGGCAAAAATCTTCAAGTTTTTAATCCCTTCTTTTGTATACAATGCCTAAAAGTTTCTCTTACAGAAATTACTGTCCATCATTATTTCACAGGTTTTATAGCTCTATAAATATTGATGAAGTAACAAGGACATCCTTACCTGACCCACATTCTGAGGGAGGTCTCAAACCTTTTAAAATCCCACTTAAAGGGGGGGAAATCTGATTAGTTATTAAACCCAAGGCTTAAGCTGCAAATATTGCAAAATAGGAGTAGTTTTGCTCAACCACAACGGTGGCCCAGCCAAACGCTGGATGGCCTGGTCGCTTGCCCCACCCAGCTCCCCACTGCCTCCTTCCGGGTGGGCAAGCGGCTCTGGCTGGAGCCCAGGGCCAGTCGCCCTCACACACCAGGATATGCAGACCTGCTTCCTTGGGCTGAGGGAGAACCCCAGAGAAATGGAGAGCATCCCAGACCATCTGTGGGGACCATTCCAGGGACCCTAGACCAGATGGAGGAGGGGTGGTTGCATTTACTCAAGCAGATGAGGGAAGCAGGCCTGTAGACCCTCAGATCAGAAGTATGCAATGTCTTCCCCAGATTGTTCGATCTCTATTTGTATTTATACAAATTGAGTTTCTGAATTACTAGTTAAGACCTGTGTTCAACTGAAGCTGCTACAAACTCATAACAAACATGATTCCACATATTTTTTCAGACACAGTCGAAGACAAGAGCAGTAACGTTCTGCAACTGAAAGTGGGCTCAGCGTGACCACTCACCCAAGTCCTTCAGCGCTGTCCTAACCACTGAGCTCTGCTGCACCCCCTGGTCCTTGGCCACACATCTTCACATGGGGCGGATGACACGAGGCCACTGCAGGGTCTGGGGCAAAGCCCCTCTGCCTCCGAGCCCAGTCCTGTGACCTTGAGTAAGCCTGCTCTGGGCTTGGCGCCTCATCTGCAAGCCAGCTGGAAGTCACGGGACCCGGCATTTGGGGAGGCCTGAACACGTGACCGTGGGAAGTGCTCAGGCCGGCCCTGGCACATGGTCAGCGCCCCATAATGTAACCCAGGGCACCGTTTTCCCTGGTCGCAGTAGTGGTAACATAGCCTAGTCTTTCATTCGCTGGTTGGGAAACTGGGGTCTGTAATGAGAGAGCCATGTGCTTGATGAGTTAGAAGAAGAATAAGAAGCGAATTCTGTGCAGGCCCCAGTGGTGGGAGCTCATGTAGCTTAGCAGCTGCACCTGGGATACGCCGGCCGCCCTGACTCAGGGTGCTCGGTCCCACCCCACCGCCTCACCTGCTGCTGGGACTCTTTCCCTACCACGACGACACTGCAGGGTCATGTATGCGCAGGCCGGTGCTTCAAAGGATATAGTGCAGTCGCCACGCTCCCACCATAGGGTGGTTTGTTATTCACTCCACCCTTTGAGCCCAGAGTACATGATCACCCAGGAATTGAACCAAAATGTCTAAATGGCTGCTGCTCCTAAAGGACAGAGCTATTTCCCAATGATCAGAAGTGGCAAAACTCCCTGGTGGTCTGCAGTCTTGGCACAAAGGCTGTGTCAACATGGCCAAGCGGCCTGCTCCCTCCAGTCCTCGCTGGGCACAGCCCTCCTGCCCACTGGTTGGGGCCGGAGCAGACAGTGTGACTGCTTGGCTGCTGAGAAACAGCTGGAACTTCTCCCGCTTCTCAGGCTTTGGTTTTCTGAAACAAAAAGGTAGAAAAAGAAATTGTCCTACTCATGTCAGTAAGCACTTCTGGGGAAAAAAGAGGCTGAGGGCCTTGAAGTCAGCATCTCCCTCCACACAGACTGGAGCGGTCACCCTGGACGTCAGGGTGGAGGTCACGGCACTTACACGCCAACAGCCCCGGCGGTCTCAGCGGTAGAGCCCCTCAGTGCTCCAGAGGAACCTAGGGAAGTACGACTCGCCCCAAACACTGAAGCAGAGAGGAACACAGTCTTTAAAAACTGTCCATTTTTTAAAGTGCAAATTTCAGGCTTTCGTCTTTGGAGCAATGCTGACTAGTTCCAAGGCCCCCCCGGCTCTTGGCTGCTAGGACAAGACCTACCGTTCCACTCGCAGCAGTAAGGCCTGGACGCACACAAAAGATCACTGTAAACACTTAAAAATAGTCGGTGAGGCTTCTCCAAAGGAGGCTCTTCTGTCCATCTTTGCACGACAGAGCCATCCCTCAGCGGCTCCACTCAGTAACCATGGCACCCAGCGGGGTCAAACATTTTAATTATCATTTTAAAAATGCAATACTTATCATTTGAATGAAGCCTGTCTGCACACAAATCACAAAATGGGATGATTCTGAATAGAATTTCTGTTGGTTGATTGCATAAGCAATACCTCTTGTTGCTGAAATAACATCTCAAAGGCAAAATAATGACGACACAACAATCTATGTAAATCAAGAACTGCATGTGGGTTTATTTTACATTTGAGAAAACAGTGGATTTAATTGTGTGAACCAAAATGTACTGTACAATATTAATGATAGAACATCAAAATGTATAATTAATAGTGCATTGACTGCTTTGTTTTCATTTATTTATGTCTGATATACATGCATCTGGAAAGATGCAGGTGCCAGTAAAATTTCTCTATTTAAATCAAGCTGCAGGAACTAAATTTTATTCAAAAATTGTGGTTTTACATTATATACACAAAATTTAATATAAAATGACAATATAAAAAGTTAAAAGAGAAAGCATACAGCCAGAAGGTACAAAGAAAGTTGAGTAGATTAAAATGGTACGATATGTAACATAATAGGAGTTTGTAAGCTGATGCTGGCAATTTACAAGGAAAGGACTCCAACATTTGCCCCCCCACCTTTTATTTCATTTACAATGCAGCACACTATAGAAAGGTCAGCTTGTACCAAAGCTTACATTTGTAAATATCTATAAACCGCAGTATTTTACAGGAAAAAAGAAACAGCATTTTTACACATTTTTAAATAATAGCTTGCATACTTTTTTTTTGCCAAAAGTGGCATTTTTCAGCATCCAGAGGGTTTGGGCATAGTGGCAACTGGGGTATTTGTTGTTGGTTTTTGTTTGTTTTAAATGTGTAAAGTGTGACTTCCTCGTCCCACGGGTCCTAGACAACCTTCTATCTTCCAACAGCTGCATGCATGTTTCCTTCACAAACCAGTTCTGCATATAAAAGCTCATTTTTTAATTATTAAATAAGTTTTGTGTCTGACACAGCTTTTGATCTGAATGAAATGCCTTAAGCCTTTTTTTTCTTTTTTTTTTGAGTGAAAGGCACAGAAATGCAATTACAGTCCTCAAAGGGTTAAATTTGACACTACTAGGTTCTATGACCTTTATTGTCATGGCAACTTTGTAATTTTAGGATGTCTTGTTGTCATTGTTATTTGTGTCTTTCTTTCCTGCTAAATAAATGTCTCTGAGTAGTGTGCCCCACTATTTCCTACAAAAGATAGCTTAACATCAAGAACAGATGTTGAAAATAAAGGTCAGACTTTGACTCACGGAAAAAGAAAAATAACATGCACAATCAGACAAAGAGCATATAAATATAACTACAAAATATGTGTAAGAAAAACCAAGGTCCAGACAGGCAGTTCGGCAACAAAGGAGAGGCTGATTTCGGAGGCTCAGGCCAGGCCTAGTGCAGTACGAAGAGGGCTAGTGCAATGTGCCGCGGTCCCTTGCATACCTGGGCGCTACTGTTTTTCCAGCTCTGTCACATAGATCAGGTGGTCCTCTGGGGACTTGCCGTGGGTCTTACTGAGGTGCAGTTTGACTGCGTGTTTGCTCGCGAAAGTCCGGTTACAGAGCTTACACTGGAACGTGGAGCCCAGGTCGTCCTCAGCAGCCGCCACTGGGCCCAAAGCTTTGCTCGCCAGGACTTTTGAAACATTCTGCTGTTCCTGAATCTGATTTAGTGGCAGCTTGGAAAGATCCTTCAGGCTGAAGCCTAGGTGTGTCTCTAGATGACTTATGTACGTGGAAGCAGTTCTGAACTGAGAGGCACAATCGTTGCAAAAGAAAACAGGATGCCCTGTGTCCAGGTTTTTGAGGAATTTCGTCCCCCCTGTCCTCCTCAGCTGGTACTTCACGTTGGCCAGCCAGTGGCTGATGGTGGTCATGGAGAGCCCCGTGAACTTGGAGATGTGCACGCGCTCCTGCGGGCCCAGGTCCGACATGATGTACTTCCCCTCCGGGGTCTCCCGCAGGCTGGAGGCGAACTGGGCCTGCAGGATGAGCAGGTGCTGGGGGTTCCAGTTGGACTGCCGCCCTTTCCTCTTGTGAACGGGCGACAGCTCGTCCAGCGCCTCCTCGAAGCTGCTGCCGTCGGCGTCGGACTTCTCCGACACCGTGGAGGGCGTGGAGGACTTGGGCGTCAGGCGGCCCGTGAGGTTCTTCACCATGTCCGAGATGTCCATGAGGGCGCTCTCCCGGAGCGGCGGCGAGCCCGAGTCAGCCGCGCCGCACCCCAGGGGCTTGCTTTTGGCCTTGGTCAGGTCGATGGGCTGGTCGCTGTTCTCGTAGTAGTAGCGCTCGATGGCGCCAGCGCGCGCGGCGGGGGCGGCGGGGTACACGGGCTTGTCCAGCACGCTGTTGCTCACCTTGTACAGCATGGCCAGCGGGTCCAGCGCGGGGCTCACGGGCTTGGACACCTTGCCCAGGTGCGCGTTCATGATGGACTGCAGGGCGCTCAGCGGGTTGATGAAGGGCGGCTCCGGCGCGTGGTCCGTGATGATCCCCAGGCTCCCGCAGCCGTTGGCGACTTTGGCTTTGAGCGGCTCGGGGCCGTTGGGGGCGCGCGCGTCCGTCACGCCCTCCCTTCTGGCCTTGCCCGCCTCTGCCTCGGGGCCCCTCCTCTGCGGGGCTTTGCCGCCCGCGTCCTCCGCTCGCGGGAAGTCTTTGTTCTCCTTGGCCACGGGGGACACGGCCTTGGCCGGGGAGCCCCTCTCCTTCTCCGCAGGCCGCTCCTCCTTCACGCTGACCTTGCCCGTGACCTTCTCCACCAGCTCCTCCATGGCCGACACGTTGCTCCTGAGCGGCGGCGGCGTGAGGCTGCCCGGGGAGGGCAGGAGTGCGCTGTGCTCGGCGGGCAGCGGCTTCCCGCCGGCGAAGGAGGCTTGCATCTGCACGCTCTGCACGGCGGGCGGCGGCTTCGCGGCGCCGGGCAGCTGGTAAGCGGCGTGGATGCTGGGGTAGCCGCCCCAGGAGGGGGCGCCGTTCTGGGCCTTGCTGATGGCCGTGGACACGGTGTTCTCCAGCGACTTCAGGATGTCCACCCCGCCTCTGGGGCTGTCGTCCAGGTCCTCCTCCCGGAGGTACTGATAGAGGGCGGGGGTCTCGACCTTCTCTGGGGCGTCCTCGGCCTCCTCCTTGATCTTCCTCTCCACTTCCCCGGCCCCCGGCACCTTCTCCTTGTCCGGCTCCTTCTTCTCTTCGGCGGTGGCGGGGCCCGCCGGGGACTCAGGCTGCTTTTTGATGTGGGAGGCGGGGAGCCGGGTGTGCGTGGTGGGCGGCAAAGGTATGGACTGAATCTTCTCTTCCACCACGGGGTCCAGCACCAGCTGCTTCCCTTTCTTGGAGGCAGAGGTGGTCACTTTCAGGAAGTGGCCGGTGACCATCATGTGGGCCGTGAGCTGCTGCAAGGTGTCGTGGGAGCTGCCGCACTCCATGCACTTGAGGATCTGTGCTTTGCGGGCCTCAAACTGCCAGGTGTAACTGGCACCGTTCTGGTAGCCGTAGCGGTTGTTGGGCGTCACGTAGGGGTTGGCGGTCTTCTGATCCTTGGCTGACTCGCTCAGCACAGCTTCTGCAGCAATTCCTGCTGGCTCGGGAGAACAAGGGGACGCCAGCTCCTGAAGTGCTCGCTTTTTGGTAGAAGGGACCAGTTTGGTGATGGCTGGTACCGGCTCCTTCAGAGGCACTTTCTGGTAATGCTTTGTCTTGATCATGTGGACGCTCAGGTCTTGCAAAGACTCAAAGGAGTGGCCGCAGTACATGCACTTGAGCACTTTCTGGGCGTCCTCCTTGCCTTCCATCTCCATCAGGGAGCGCTTCCGGGGCTTGGACCACCGCTTAGTCTTCTCGGAGTCCTTATCTCTGTTGTCATCACGGTAGTGCCCCGTCTCATTCATGTGCACCGTCAGCTCCACCAGGGTGTCATAGGCAGCACTGCAGTCTTTGCACCGGAACTTGCTGGCGCCGGTGAACACCGAGCCATACAGCTTGTTGTTCTGCCTGTAGAGCTGCACGGTGCTAAAGAGACTGGGCTCCGGGAGCAGCCCGTAGGACGACGTCTGCTGCAGCGTCTTCGCCAGGGCGGCCTGATGCCAGTCATAGCCCGAGCTGCCGCTGGACCCGGACCCGGAGCTGGGCGTGCTGGTGGTGGTGGCGGTGGTGGCCGTGGTCCCCGCACTACTGCTGGGGGGCGTGGGGGTGGGGGTGGAGCTCTCTTTCTGGCCGACATCGTTGTTGCTGGTGGTCGAACTGGACTTCTTTAGATCCAAAGCTAAGCTGGACCAGCAGGACTCTGAGAACAGGTTTGCATACACAGCCTTGATCTGGGCCAAGCTGTCCTGGGGGTAGGAGACGCTGTCTGGACCCTGAGGGTCCTCTTTGTCTTCTCTGGAGGAGGAGCTTTTGAAATGGACTAGCTGGTCACTGTTCTCACTGAAAGGCGACCCGTAGCCGGCATCCTGGTTCGTTGCAGTGCTGACGGGGGAGTTCTGGTAGCTGTGGGCCTCTTTGATCTCAGTTTCTTCATTGCACACGTACTCGCTTTCCTGAATGTCCAGGGACAGCCCATCCTCATCCACACGCTCCTCATCTATCTCTGCTGCCTTCAGTTCTTCCTCCGGAACATAAGCTAGGAGAGAAAAATGAAACACAGTGAAGTGGAATAAATCACCTTCAAGGGCATGGCCTCCCCAGTAGTTAGAGGATCTTTAAAAAGATGTTTCTCAGCTGAGCTCCAGGCCACAAGGCTACCCCCGCTTACAGAACTACCACTCTACCATTCGAGAGGGCAAATTAGGTTTCAGCCAGGACAACGTCCCCTCCTAAGTGAGTGTGTTTTCAACGACGGAGCCTCATCTGAAAGGCGGGTGTCTGCCCCCTGCTTAAAGCTGTTATGTGGCCGTGACAGCATGTGGCAAGGGGGCGAGAGCCCTGCCACCTCCTCCTTCAGGCTTTTCCTTCTGAAAGTGAGGAGCCAGCCCCCCATGCCCTCCCATAGCAGGGACCTGGTTGCCAACTTGTAGAGCAAGATATCCCACAGACAGTGTTACGTGGTTTCCACAAATAAAAACACTCCTCAGCGACAAGCAATAAAAATACTCTGGTCTTCCTCCAAGAACAGATCAGAACCACCAGCCAGGCCCCTGCCTGGACTGGACGTCACCTGCATGAGGACACCAGACAGGTGTCAAAGGGCCACAGCTGTGCAAAGCGGCACTATTCACAAGCGCCGAAAGGTGCAAACACCCTAGGTGTCCATTGATGGACGAGTGGATGGACAAAATACGGGTACACAGATAATCGAGTATTATTCAGCTTTAAAAAGGAAGGAAATTCTGACACCTGCTACCATGTGGATGAACCTGGAGGACATTATGCCAAGTAAAATACGCCATCACTAGAGGACAAATGCTGCAGGACTCCACCTACATGAGGTCCCCAGAGAAGCCAGATTCACAGGGACAGAAGTAGAACCGCGGTTGCTGGCGGCTGATGGAGGGGACCGGGAGTTAGTGTTTCATGGGGACAGAGTTTCTATGCTGGAGATGGATGGTGTGACGGCTGTAACAACATGAATGCACGTGATGCCACTGCACTGTGTGCTTAAAATGGTCAAAATGGTAGCTTTTGTGCTATGAGTATTTTATCACAACAAAAAATAGTTTAAAATTTTTAACAAGGCCAATAATAATAGGTTACCATTGCCTTCTTGAGGCTACAACTGGCAGGGTGACTTCGTGGACTGAGACAGCATTTTCCAGGGGAAACTACAGGACACTGACAACTGTCATGTGAGCGAGAGGGCAGAGGGCATACAAACCATGAGATGAAGCCTGATGTTTTTATTGCAGGACATTTTAGATGCTTTATTATGTTGCCTATCATTGTATGCGCCACCTCTTAACTTATTTGACCAGTGGGCTTGTAGCTGAACTCATTTTCCATCAACTACTGGGATATTGGGGGTTAAGATATTTTCCAAACAGCCCCTAGTAAAAGGCACTGACACAACCTGAGAGAGGTGTCTCATTAAATAGAATCACTCGTCATCACACTATCAGAGCCAGATCCTAAGGGAATGTGGCAAAGAGCACACATTTTCAGGAATGGTTGATGGTAAGGACACAGAACATCTTGGCTGCCCAGGGTTGGACCCCGGGGATCAGGGGAAGTGCCATGAGTGCAAATGGAGGGCTTACGGTTCAGGTGGCCGCAAGCACTTCGGTGCCTGTACACACACAACCCCCGTGAGCACACATGCGCACACTCACATGCATGTTCACGGTCACCAGCACAGCCTTGTTCAGCTGGACTCACCAGAAGGCCTGCACACACCCTCTCTCACACCTGAGTGGTGGCATTAAGCAAACCTGCTCACTTCTGCTCACATCTGTGTCATGGTTGAATGTAGAACAGCAGTGCTCCAACCAGTCTGGGAATCACACTTCCATTCATAATGTGCCATGGGCGTGAAGAGAGGTCAGTAGTGCAAGACCTGAGGTCTCACCACAGGCTTTAGTGTCTGGAAAATGCACTCAATAACCCAATGGCCTGCCTGTGAAATGCAAAGCTTATAAAACTGAGAAATGATCACCAAGTTCATTTTGTCCATCATCACTGAGGTTGAGCATGGCCCAGGGTTCTGAGGGCTTGCAGCTCGGATCCTCAGCCCAGGGGCCCCACCACAGAAGCACCAGCCACCTCATCACCTCTAAGCAAGCCTGACTAAAGGGGTTGGCGTGGGCCACAGCGCCCCCTGTGGATTCTGCAGGTGACCTTGAGGGCTATGGCACAAACTGGGGAGGGCAGAGCTCCTCCACAGCGCTGTCCCCAGGCAGCCCCAGGGATACTCCCTCAGAAGTCACGCCCGCCATCAACCGCAAAGTCCACCAGATGACCCAGCTGACCCACTTTTATGAAAGGAAGATTTGCACCCTAGCTAGTAATTCAAACTGATGTAAAGGAAGCGTGTTACCTGGACCAGTCCGGCTCAGTGAGTGCGGCCTGTCATGCTGGCTCCCCACCTGCACATATCTGCCTGTGCTGCAGTCACCCGTCGGCTGGGCCGTCTCCCTTCTCGGGCTCAAACAAGGCCTCTCGCCGTCCACCCAGAATGGGCACCCATCAGTGTGTACACTCATCTCAGCTCTGCCAACACAGGAATGGGGCACCACTGCCATGCCTCTGGGGTTCATTCAGGGCCCCCTGTCCTCACCCTTGGAAGTGGCATCTCAGGGCCAGGCATGACTTAGGTGGCATCTGCCGGCCACACGGGCCACGTCTCAGCAGAGTGGAGTGTCATCAGGCCGTGCTCCAGCCTGGCCCGTGCTCCTCCAGGGCCCATCCCGACTGCACTGGCAAGTTCCCAGACTGACCTAACACCTCCTTGGGACCCCACAGCCCAGGGCAGCCTGACTACCTGCGTGGGCGGGGCACACAGAGCAAGCCCAGCCTCCGCCACCAGAGAGCCCTCCTGAGGGGACCCCTCACTCTGCACCCGCACCTGCGTTTTCCAGGGGGTGGGGAGGGGAAGGGGCCCCCAGCATCCCACTCTCTGGAGCTCAAAGCCCAGGAGGAGCACAGCAGGCTAAGTAGGCAGCTGGCCAGGGCCCGGAGGGCAGGACATCAGGAAGGAAAGGCGCCGAGGCTGCCGGCCCCCCTCCTACTATCCCCATGGGGACACAGCCGCACCTCCTCCCGCCCGACCCCACTCCCAGGAGTGGCTGTGTTGACCCCACTGTCTACTGGCCGGCAAGCCAGCGTCCCAGGCAGCCCTTCTCCCCTTCCGCGCATTTACACTGCAGCCTCTTCTGGCGTCTTCCCTGAGCCCTCTGGCGCTTGACTCCAGCCTCAGACCCATGTCCAGCCCTGCACATGACAGCCACAGGCCTGTGCCCCCCACCCTGTGAAGGCTGGGCTCAGGGATCCTCTCAGTGGGTTTTCAGGGCCTGCCCCATGTCTGGCACACAGGAGGGCTCCAAGTGGCCTGAAATGCACTTACAATGTAGGTGACCTACAGGCACTCCCATGCATCTTGTGTGTGAACAAATGAGGCCCTCCTGACCTCCCCAACTTCCCCAATAGATTTAGAGTCTCCTAACTCTCTGAGTCACCCCTAAACATGTTGTCCATGCCAGGAAAACAGAGTTATCCTCAATGCTTCCTTGTTCTCAAGCCCTACACCCAGCATTGCCCCCTGCCCGTGACAATTTGTCCCTTCAGCACCTTAACCGGACATGGCAATGGCCTTCCAGCTGGGCCCCTGCCGTGGTCTCCCGGAAGCCGGCCCCGAATGTCTGCTACCATATCCCCCTGCGGACCACTCCCTTCGTGTCCCATGTCCAGCCCTCAGGGCGACCTGGCCCCAACCTTCCCACCTTCTCTGCCTGGTGAATGACGCTTGTCCTCAGGGGAGGCTCAGATGTCATCTCCTTGATGACGCCTCCTATCCCTCACAGAGTTCGCCATTCCCTACAGGATTCGGAGCTGTTTACCCATCTGTGCTCTCAGCCAGCCTGCCAACTCTCCCCCAACTCCCCTCGCTGAGCACCGCCCCGAGCTGCCCTGGCTGGGCCTTTGCACTTTATCACTCCGTCTTCATGATCTGACCCTTCAAGGCAGCATCACTGAAATGGCTGTTATGCAGATAAGAAACTGAGCCTTGGAGAAGGGGACTGACTTCCCCAAGGGTGCACAGTGGACACAGGATTTGGATCAGGGTAAACAGCCTCCTGGTCAGAGGTCTTTCCCTGTTGCCGTCAGGACTCAGTTACTTCCCTTTGTTAACATGTCAATGCCAATGAACACGCTGTCCTGTAAATGCTGCTGAATGAATGAATGGCCCAACGTAATTCTGCACCAAGTATTTAGAACAACTCTTATGTGCCGGTCATGGTGTTACAAATGAGAGACTCTCAACAAAAGGAGAAAAACATATAAATGTTGACATCTTTTGGCCCAATAATTTTATTTTCGGAAGTATAGCAGAAGAAGATGCTATGAAATATTAAAAAAAAAGCTTTTTGCACAAAGATGTCCTTTAGTGTATTTCTCCCTATAACATCTGTCAGTCTAAATTTTCAACAAAAAGTGTTAGTAAGGTGATTTGTAGTTTATTCCTATGATGCAATATTATTCAAGCATTAAAAAGTGTGGTTTAATACCTGGAGAGGGTCATTAAATGAAAAAAGCAGAAGACAAAACTGTGTACACAGTACAAAGGAAAAATCCTTTTACAAGAATTTCAATCGTGTTTCTTTTCCTAGATAATGACTATATGGGTTTGTTGAGTGAAGTGGTTCTTGATAAATATCTCTATTTTCAGAATCTTCCAAGTTTTCAGTTCAGCAAACATGCATTAGCCATTTCACATGGTTCTGGAATTAAATGGCTGGCAGCGAAACTTCAGCGAGCACCTGGCTGCTCTGAGCCTGGCCCTGGGGACCCTGGGGACCCGGGAGCCCCGGAAGGGCGGGGCGCAGCCTGGGGGCGGGAGTGTGGAACAGGCTCTGCTGATCCATCACTTTGATTTTCTAAGAAATGTGTAAGAGTAATGGGGGGCAAGAACGATGAGGGTGTGTGGTATTCGGGCTCCCATAGGGGGATTTCAGTCGGCAGGAGAGTCTCTTA